AAAAAAAAAGGAATCATAAAAGCAATAGGATTTGGACATTTTACAACTTATGGGGGGAAATAGAGATGAAACAAGAAAAAGAGGGGGCCATGTATGAAATCTCCCTATCTTCATTTTTCAAATACTACTAGAACTTGGTGAAAATTCCGCTACAAGTTTTGAGAAACTGTCAAGTATTCAACCAGGGCGCGGGAATAAGAACCAAACAGCCCTATGAGCACTTTCTCTACTTTCCAAAATTACTCATAAACAATACTGAAACGCTATTTTCCCTTGTGCTCCTCTTCAAGATGGCCCGTAATAAGGTCGTTATTTTTTCATACCCTCTATTTATTTCATCAATTTCTGCTTTACTTCCTTTTTATTCTTGAAAAATATATTTTAGGTATTACATACTAAAATTATTTCTGGGGTTTGGCACTGGTTATTTTTTTTTGGCTAACAGGAAGCGGTAGTATTGGTGATAGATGTGGGTCCTTCTATGCACTCAGTTTTACCTGAGATTGAAAAAGTTTGCTCCTTGTTGATACAGAAGAAGGTAGTGTGTTTTCACCTTTGACTTTCTTCTTGTTTCAATTTTTGTTGAATTGTTAATTTTCTACATATCCGGTAAAAAAGTCACATTTTGTGTTTTTTTGTGTATGTAGCTGATTTTCAGTAGATATGATGAAGTGGGGTTTGTCTTATTTGGAACTGCAGGTAAGTCGTTTGCATAGTGGCTGCTGGTGCATTTGACATGAATTAATATTTCATTGTGGAAAATGTTATTTTATCAGGAAATCATTATTTCTTGAGTATTTTCTAGTGTTTGTTTGAATATAAGGGTCAGTAAGAATTAAAATCCTACATGGTGAAGAATAGTTATAAGGATAATGTTTTGGTATATTTTTGTGAAGTTTGATAGCAATGTCTAAGTCGTAGTTGAAACAAGTGATATAATCTAAGAGTTGGATATTTGTAAAGAAAACATGACTTCTGCCCATAAGTGACGGAAGTCATTTTTGGCCTTTTGGTGGAAAATACTTTTCACAGTTCAAGATAATGAACATATTTTATCAAGGAAACCATTTTCAATTATGACGAACACGCTTTGTGTAGTTTTTTTTTCCTGTTGTTCTTGATTTCTTATTAGAGGAGCATGGGTTGTTGGACTGACTTGTCTACATCATGTTTGTATCATTAACCGTTTCTTTCTAGAATTTGTTGTGGTAAAACTTCTGTTTCTTATCAATGCTGTTGGAAGTGTCATCAGATGACCTATATATGTATTTTTTTCCTAGATACCAAGAACGAATTGACAGAGGAAGTAGGTGGGTACGAACACGTGACAGTTTTGCGGAATATCAAAGTTGTAGATGAAGATCTTGTTGATGCTCTACAAAACCTTCCACGAGGAAATATTCCCGGAGATTGTATCCTCTATAATTATTGAATTATGATATAGCTTGGACTAGTAAAGTTGTTAAGCATGCAATCTGGTTCGAGTCATTGTCTCTCTTTTCTCAACATATTGTTTCCTCTATGTTGATTCATCTACTTCACACTATTATGATTGTGTGAGAAGGCACGGGAGAAAATATGATATATTGATATTGTATGTGATGCAATACAAGAGG